CTTTGAGCTCCTCAGATGAAAGGTGCTATTTAAATACAAAGTATCATAATCATCTGGAGGTATTTAAAAACCCTACTCACTTCAATAGGAATGACTAACTCAATCTCAACTCTATGTTACTTTGGGATGTAGTCCTTCAGTTAAACTTCCTCAGTAAGATGAATGTAACTTTATCTCATAGAAAATGTAAAGGAAAAATATACCATCCAAAGTGTAAGATTCCACAAGTGTCCTTTTCTATGTCAGAAAATAGGACAAAAAACTCTTCATTTGAAAGTGAAGTAAAACACTACCAAAATAAAGCTGGTATTAACTGTAGGAAAAATTGCCCTCCCCAGAAATACAACCTCCTAGATGTTTTCCCTGACTAATGTCACTGATCTGGGAGGTATAACAGATAGTTATGTTTCTTCTCCTTAGGTTATATTTTCTAGTGGCAAAGAAAATTATGCCAAGAAGGTATCTGGCTGTGGGGAAGTGCTATTTCCTGCTCAGAATGCTTCCTTAGGTTGAATTTACCAAATGTGGAACTGAACAACAATATCTCTAATTTCAAAATATATTTAAAACCATTAACCACATAATTTCCTATTTATGTTTTACCTTTCCCAGCACCCACATGGAAGCTATGAATGAACCATCCTTAACTCCAGTTCCATTGGAATCCAAAACCCTCTTCTGATCTCCATGGCATTGCATGACACAGGTACACACACATACATACATGTATTGCAAGCAATATACTCATACACATAAAACAAAAATAATAAACAAAATATTAAAAAATAGTTTGTTTAAACAAATAATATGAAATGAAGGTATTTATTAAAGAAACTTTAAACACTATTGATAAGCCTGATTCACTTTTCACTCTATCTCCATCTAGGCTCTGAAACACCCTCTCCCCATTTGCTTGCCTCTCTGTGCCTGGGCACCCATTCCTACGAGCTTGATATATATTGTTTAAGTTTTACTCAAGGTCTTATTACTATTTTCTAGTTGAGTTTCTATAATAAGTTAGGTTTAAATATTTTTAAATGAAATATTTTGTTAAATGAGAAAAAATATAGTTCTACACAGTTCACACTTTTATGATTTTATATGTCCTTCTTGAATTAGCTATGTGCTATCATATTTTTCAAATTGTAATTTTGACACTTTTTTTCTGTCTCTGCATTTATCTCTGTTCCTGGAACCCAGAAAATATAGAGCTGGTCAACTCACCCCACAGAACAAATTGGAATTCTCTATTTACCATCCCTGACACATCCACTGGGGCTCTTGGTCCTTCTTTAAGCCTTAACCTTGTTCTTTGTAAACCCCAGGATTTGAACTAGATGATTACTTCCTCAGCCTCATAATACTTCTTATGAATGCTAGGCCATAGTGTGGGGTGACTCATCCTGTACTCTGGACCTAGATGACGACACAGTATCCCCAAATAACCGTCAGTGAACTAAAAAGTAAAGAACCATCAAACTGTAGGAAAAAGAGAATGCCTCCCTTAACACTGTTTCCATGGTATTTCTTTTGGCTCTCTTCCTGCCCTCCCTGTCCATGCATGACTTCTGGTTGGCTGATTCCCAGTCATCACTGAGAATTGAGAAGCACAGCCACTAGGTCCAGAAGGAGCAAGAGATGGAAAGGCAGTTTATTTTATTTTATTTTTTAGGTTGATTAGATTCATACCAGAATAGATATCAGAATGCCAGACACTGAGATCTCAGGGAATAGAAGCAATTTTTGAAATGACTGAGGACACAAATAGGCATGCCAGCCAGATTAGATGGAAGCAGAGGCAGGAGAGGACAGACGAGAGAAGCGTATGATCCCATGGGAGTCTGAAACCTAAGCACCCCCTAGAAAAAATTGATCCATATCACTGACAAAACACTGAGTACCCTGTCTCAGTGCTGTTACACACATACAGCATGACATTGATCTTCAAAATTTGTACTGATCAAATCCAATCAGCTATTGGAATGCAATTATTCACCTGGTCGTAATATAGACATGCTGGTATGTTTGCATGTAAGAAAAATTTCACTATGTGATCCTAAGAATATGATAGAAAATATATCCATCTGCGTATATGTTTATATTCTATCTCTATGTACATGTATTTATTTCTGTATGCAATTAAAAATGCATATGAATATATATGTATATATGTTTCTTCACCTTGTTAAGTTTCACAGATGTGATTCATTTACAAGAGAACATATAATCTCAATTCAGTGTATAGAGGCCAAGTTTCTCAAGTTTTAGGGTTACTATCTAGATTTTAGATTGTGGCAAATTCATAAAAGTAAGAGCAGCCACCTGACCTTCCTGATGTAGTTTCTGTCTTGATATATTTTATGGCCTCAATCAGAAATAATTATAGCCCCCACATGCAATGGAGCCCAATATGACTAATTTAACAAAAAGGTAACATGATGTAAAGACTAGTTTTTTTTTCTTCTATTCATATTTGAAAAACAAGAGACATGTTATCATTTGGAAATGGTCTAGGATACTTGTTCTTCCAATAGTTGATAGAAAAACATCTTTATTTTAAAGTGAAAATGATCCAGTTCAGTTTTTCAAAACTAGCTATGAGATGGTTGAGATCTTATAAGCACTCAAAAATTCAAATTCATAAATATATACTGAATCACTTATACTTCAAAAATTCTGAGATAATAAACATTATTTTTATAAAATAATATATTGAAAGATAAAATATTTGGGCTATATCCAAGGCTTTTAGCATGAAAGGACATTTAAGCCAGTCCGGAAGCACTCTTTGGCTCCAAAACCCATTTCCCTCACAACTGACCCAGATTCCAACCCTGGAGCTGGTAAGCAGGCTTCATCCCCAGTATGGGACCACTTTGGTATCAAGGTGATTTAAGCAATAGTTTATACCTTCAATCATGAAATCAATCTCAGGAACTTGTGCTTCCTCAGTTTCCCCAGCTCATCATGCGAATCAAACTGCTAAGTAAGTAAACATGAAAACAAAATGATAACTGATGCAGACAGGCTCCAGATTGTTGAAGTGTTGTCTTAGCTTCCACTAAGCCCCGTCCACTGCTTATAACAATAACCGGCTGGATTTCTCAGCTTCAGCTCTTCTTGGAATAAATAGGATATTTCTTTGCTACACTAGCAACAGGCTGTGGTAATGCATCTTCTGACAGCATAGAAATGTTGTGGGTATCCTTCTTATATTCCCACTGCCTCTCCTACACTAGCAACAGGATCCCCCATTGATTTAGGCCAATTTATCCAGGGATGACAAAAGCCCCACCTCATCATTAACTCATTTTAGTTTCCTAGGATTTTCTCCTCAAGGTCTCTTCAGACTCAGTTTTCTGTGATGATAAAAGTTTGTCTGAGACATCAAGTATATAGCTCCACACAAACCAACAGCAACAACTGATGCTTAGACCTACTCTATGACTACTGAAAACCTGGGATAGCAGAGTGTCACTATTTAGGTTACAACAAAAGAAGCTAGAAGTGTGGGCAATATTGCTATATTGATAAAACGTGCCAGCTGATCTTACAGTCTTTAGAAAATCATAATTTCAAAACCTAGACACTATGTTCATGGTTGACAAACTCAGAATGCAAAAATATCTTATGAAACCCTGCCACACATCAGAAGTTTTGGGTCTGGGTTACATTCAAAATCATCAGTTATGAAAAAATACATATATTTACAAATCTAGTACTAATAATCAAGTTAGTCTGATTGTGGCATGTAAAATATCCATGACTTCTATGTGTAGAACAATGTTAACAAAAGGTAATTAAGAATTATAGTCCCACAGTGATACAGTGAAATATTCCAATCCATATGAAGCATCTAATATCTGCCTTTTTAAGACTATATGTCATAATGTAAGCAATCATAAGTCCTACCTAAATTACTTTTAAAATTGTAATTATCTGTTCAACAAAGTTCTACTATGTGCTGCCTCTATATAGAGGACTTGTTTGTGATACTGGGACTTGAGCCTAGGACCACTTGGGTTCTAGGCAAACATTCTACCGCTGAGTTATAATTTTAGTCCTCAGCTTATATTACACGAAACTTCATGGATTTTGTGTGTATCCCCATGTCTCTTGTTACCCATTGTAACCTAAATGAAACAATATATACAAATTGAGAAACATGTCACCATGTATAAAAAATGTACAGTGTGTGATTTGACTAATCTTTTTTTCCTTTGGATCATTTTTTTTTTCCAATTAGGAAAGAAATGACTTCATTAAACCTCAATTGATGAGTATGGAGGGATCATGAGTTTTAAGAATATGATAGCATATTTTTATTGTGATAAATGGCTTTTAATGAAAAAAGTCAACATCCCAGAACCCTTTGAATATCAACATGTTAAAAGGAAAATTGACATAGACTATATAATTTTATAATTGCTCTTAATGTCTACCAATCCTTATAAAGGAGCTATTGGCTGCTACAGGTCTCCAATTTCCTTTCATCAGAACTCTAAAGAATTTGCATTTCTAAGGAGAGATTAGCCAGCTCTGTCTATAGTAGGATCCATTTACTTTAAAGATGATAATTTTCAGAACAATGAACTTTTATTCAAGTTCTCCAAAAATCATTTTAATGAATACTTTATAGTATTATAAATGCCTTTTCAAGTTTAGTGGGATTTTACCTATAATTAGTCTCTGTACTGTTAACTGTCTCTCAAATTACACATTTCAGCATAATTGAACTCAATTAAATTTATTGTATTTCTGATGACCACACAGACTTCTGATTTATTATGCTTTGCCTACCTAGTGGAGGCTAAATTTAAGGATTGTTTTTCTTTCAGAATTTTTAAAGAAAGGGAATTACAGATTGAGTTTTAAACATAACTGGAAAATACTTTGAACAACTGCAATATTGTACAAAAGATTTTATATTATGAAGGTAGAGAACAGAAATAAGGAAGGAAAAAAAGGACAGAACACTTTTTGGAAACAATTTTACTTACCAGGTGTGAAATTATATCGAGCTGAAAATCCCATTGATTCCAGCTCTCCATCAGCAAAAAATTTAATCCACAGAAATCTTCCACTGGATTTTATTACAGGTGGATTCTGTTGTCCACAGAAACGTCCAATTATTGGAGAAAAGCCAAAAGGTCCATCTCGAACTTCAATATGATCAAATTTGCACTCCCAAGATGGTTCAATAGAGTATTTTTCATCAAAGTAAAGTTCAATGCACTGCCGTGGGGCAGCTATAAAAACAAAAGAAAGATTATATGTAGAAGGCAATTTCTTAAGTCTTTAGGCTGATTTTTCTGATTCTGTATCAGATTTTATCTACATACTGGTTAATCAAACCCTCCATAAAAATAACAGAAAAATAAATAGAAATGCAAAGAAAGGAGGTGATACTTAGAATTCTAGGGACATTGCTGTTAAAAAGCATCTAGCTGGGAGTGGTGGCTCAAGCCTTTAATCCCAGCACTTGGGAGGCAGAGGCAGGCAGATCCTTGTGAGTTCAAGGCCAGCCTGGTCTACATAGAGAGTTCAGATCAGCTGGGACTACAGGGAGACCCTGTCTCAAAAAGACAAAAAAGAAAGCATCTAAAAGCTTGTCTTTAAAACTGATGCTAGTCCGTAAAACACTATTATAATATGAACTAACAGCGCTAATTCCAAGTTAGAAAGGCTGCAACTTGTGTTAGAAGTTGGAGAGACCGTAGTTCTCTTTTCCTATATTCTGTAGTGTTCATGGTTTTGACAGAAGCCATTTGAGAATTATTCATCAAGGAATTTCACAACCACCCATGTTGTTTCAACCAGGTGTCTTGATTACATCCAAGTACACGTAGAAGGGCATTAAGGGTAATGATTCCAGAACACAGATGTGGTCTCATGCCTCTCCACTTGAATCCAGCAGCACTCTTACCAGTTGCAGAACTACAGTCAATACATTTGATAAGTAGGAGCCTTTAGGGCACCCCACTTCCAGAGTCTTATCATCTCAGAAAGGGCAAAACAATATGCAAGCCACTTCAAACATGCCATGATTCCTAAGCCAGTATGCGCTCTAGGGCTGGTGTACATTGGCTCACTTTCTGTTTGTTCACTTTGTTTCTATGTCTATATGCCCACAATTTAACCCCTCCTTATCTGGGAAGGATATTATTTAGTTTGGTTAATATTTGTTTATTTTGTTTCTTTTTCTTTTTTCTTTTCTTTTTTTTTTTTTTTTTTTTTTTTTTTTATTTTTCTGTACTGGTGAGTAAGGCCAGGGCTTGGAAGAGTTAGGCAAATGCTTTACCAATGAGCTATATCCCCAATTCTCCTGAAGATCTTGTTTAGAGGAACCCCCTCTCTAAATGTGTTCATGACAGACAAGAACCTTATCTCATTTACTTAATTTTCTCAGCATCTTAGCAAAATTGCTGCCATTGAGACTTTAACGAAAACTATTTTGAGTAAATTAGAAATGACTATCTTCTTAAATATTCCTTTCATGCCTGTCTAAAGTATTTATCATGGAAGAGAGTTATGGGTCTATCAGCCATATAAACCACTATCCTATAGTGACTTAAAGTTCTCTCTCATTGACCCCTTGTCATGAACAAAACAGTTATGACCAACATTCCTTCTATATTCAGGCAAGATATTCCGTAACAGGTGAAACTTCTGTTGAAATATCAGCACATGTAGATCTAGGCCGTGAACAAAACTGCTTGCTGTCTTGAACCCTGTGAACCAACCTTCCCTGCTATCTTGCCAATAGCAAAGACTAACCCCTCCAAAACATGGGCCTATGTGATCAATCATTCTGCATGGCTGCTGCACATGATCCACTAGTCCATAAATGTGTATTGTTCACTGCCATCAATGACCTAAACATAAAACCGTTGCATGCATGGATGCCATGGTTTATACAGAACTGAGATAAATGATGTCTTAGAAAATTAGAGAATTTTGTAGTAAAATGTAATCCTACCATTCTCCAAATAAACTTAAAATCAATAGTTAATAGGTTGGTCTATGTTAAAAGATTATTGTCTAAAAGATATTTAATCTGTAAAAATATTTTGGACTCATTGGACATTGAAAAGGAACACTAATAACTCATAAGAAAGACCAGGCAACAGTTTATCTGACATTAGCATATATTACTAAAGTCTGCAGACAGAATACAAAATGTTAGATTTGAGAAAGTTTTCATTAAATCTTTAAAACCTGCAAATTGGTAACTATTGTGAAGAACTAGCTAAGTATGAAACTACATTTTTCACATAGCATGTTATTCTACCATTCTGCCAACATGGAGACAAATATTAAAAAACGGAACTTGTCCACATACACAGCATGAAATGCATCACACTTATGCATTATGATTCGACATTATATGCCTGCTTGTTCCTCTTCTCTTTGCTAAGCCAGAGAAGAAAAAATAAACCACTTCAGAGTGTGAGGTATTTCTTTTAGATGTAAATAATGTATGACTAGGGGAAATTTTAGCCATAAAGAAAGTTCTGTGCTAGTTTACTTAACATTTGATGCCTCATTTAAAAACAGTTGCCCACTGTTTTTCCTATCGGGAAATAGTCATCTTACATGAAAAATGCATTTATTCTTAATTTTTTTTAACTGGAAAATACTAATGTACTGAAGTTGATGCTTTACAGCAAATCACAGTAAAAGGAAACCTTTAAAATACTAACCATAAGCAAACACTAACCTGATAAAATACAGACATCATCATCAATATCATCATCTTTTGGACGAAAATATATACAAATTATCTAATTTTTAGAAAATTTTAAATAGCATGCTAAAATATTTTCAGTCTCCTTTCACTAAAAGTCACAGGCAAGCAGACACCAGAGGAACATACAAAAATACAAACCAACAATATAATTGCATCAAAATTAAAGAAGCATTCAACAGACTTTACCCTGATAAACACAAAATATCCTGGCAGATGCTGCTAATCTCAAAGACCCTCCCTTATCTTCACTGTGCTTATGGCTTAAGTTCTGTCCCACATGGATAAACATACCATCCACGTCCTTTCTGAAAATATGCCATCATTGTGGCTTCTGAAGGACCATGTTATACTTGGACAATTCATCTTCCTTTCATTCAGCATGTGGAAATTGACTACATATAAATCCCCGTAAGAAAACTCTACTACCTGAGGTTAGAAGCTGCTCAAATAATTTCTTTAAAAAATTATTTATAATTTTTATGTGTATGCATGCATTGCCTACATGTAGGTAAGTGCTCCCGTGTCATGCAATGCCCGCAGAGGACAGAAGAGACTGTCGGATCCCCTGGAGCTGGAGTTGTGGACAGTTGTTAGCTGCCATGTGAGTGCTGGGATTTGAACCCAGGTCTTCTGCAAGAACTGTTAGTGTTCTTAACTGCTGAGCCATCTCTCCAGTCCCCTCAAAGAACTTCTTAAAAAATAACCGTGCCGTATAAAATTGCTATTGTAGACGTACAAATGAGTGCCCATGATATAAGTAAATTGAAGTCCTCAGGGTCCCAATCCTCAAACTCACATTTTCTTTACCTTCAGTTTGCTAGATTCACAATTACCTCTTGCTTTATTTCCCCAAGGCTAACATTCATCTGAAACTGAAATTCCTTTAGAGCTCAACCTCTGAGATTTTTGGATACACTGCCTACTGGTGCATTCAGAATTCACATATGTGTAGTGTACTTAATCAAGCTGAAGAGTGCTGAGACCATCTCAAATCCATGAATAAATCCTGTGCTCCTGAACTGAGGTTGTGTTTGCAGTCTTTACTACAACCTGTCTTACTTAAGCAACTTGACCATTTACTTATCCCCCATTAAAATATCCCCCAAAAAGTAATTTAAGGTAAAAAAGATTTATTTTGCTTGCAATTCCAGGTTACAACTCTCATTGCAAGGGAGAGAGAGTCAAGGAAGTTACTCATGTTCCACCCACAGGAACAGAGAGCAAAGAATTAATATACCCATGCCAGTGTTCAGCAGGAGTTCTCCTTCACAGAGAGTCCAGGGCTAGCCTAGAAATAGTCCCTAGGTCACACTGAGGAGGGAGGTCTTCTCATCTCAGTTAACCCAATCATGAAAATCCCTGAAAGGCATGTTCACAGGTCAACCTAAACTAAACCCTCTAGTAATTGAGACCCTCTTCCCAGTGTTCCTCACTGTGTTGTCAACTACAGAAATTAATAATCACACCCTCTTTCTCTTGAGTTTCCAGTTTATCTTATTTTCTGCTGAACAAGCTATTCCTTTTAAAAACAAATATGTGTAATTCTTACCATTACAAAAACAAAGAAGTCGTGCCCTATTCAGTGAGTCCCACTGTCCACAAATACCATCTGTCCTCAATTTTCTACCCACTGGGAGGTGGCTCCCTTCCTGCTGTGTTAGCCACGGTGTTCATTCTAAAGTCATAGACAGGCTCTTAACTGCTTCATGCAATAGACATACATATGCTTTGATGTGTTTTTGTTTCATTTCCATCAGTGCCACAACTTTTATTGGAAAAGTGACTGATTAGTGGAACCCCTACACAGCAGCTTCTGTGAAACCCTCACTAATTCTCCTCTCCTTCTCACACTCCAGATACTCCTACCCATGTCACTGCTATGTCCATCCCCAGCATTTTGTTTTTATCTGCTCATCCTCTCTCTTCTCATGTTAGGCCAGAGAACTGGGTGTTGCTGGCATTCTAATGGAATGTAATTAAAATCAAATGGTTCCTAAGGCTCTACCTACATCCACATGGATTATCAGCCAAATATTCCCCCACAAAGAAGGCCAAAATCTCTACCTCATAGCTCTCTCTTTATTTTCCTATTCCAGCCATCCTCTGAAAGCCTTGAGGTTCCTTCAGATTGTTTATTGAAAGGGCCAGACAGACTCCCTAGGTCACACTCTAAGTGCTTTAAGACAAGTATCATGCGTGTTTTGTGCAAGGCTCTGTAATCTAGATGTAGAGTAGAACAGAAGCTACTTTATTATTCAAATGAATGAATGAATTCTTTATAGATCAGTTTCAGAGCAATATTAGTAGTAGTTTCTCTTTATTTTCTTATCTTTGTCCACACACACACACACACACACACACACACACTAAATGAGGCTATGTATGTACTATTATATTAAAAGGCTAGCAATGCTTATTAACGCACCAAAAATAATATACACAAAAGCACACTTGAATGTCAAAGCTTTGTTTCTGAACTGATCTTTGCAATAAGACAGTAAGATGAGTTTATGCTTTTCTTTTTTAAGAATTAAGCATTTTAAAATTCTGTTGCTTCCAAATATAAGTATTGTGAGTTTGAGGAAGACATTCCACCTTTCTATTCTATGCCTCAGTTTTCTAATTAACAAAATTAAGACAACTTCCGAAGAGAAGAGAGGTAAGAAAACAGAGAATTCCAGGATCATTCTAAGACTTTTTTCCTTTGATGACTTGTTAAATAAAATATCAACATCACATAAGAAATACAAGGAGGGAGTGGAGAAAGCAGGGTTTAAGGACAGTAATGTGTCCAATTTCACCATTAATAGGGACATATTCAAAATAGAATGGATACATGTTTCCTTAGCCTAGTGGGGATATCTGTGCTGATTTTTATTATCTATAGAATATAAATACAGAAGGCACATGTTTTGATACATGGTAAGTTCTTTATTTTAATATATATAATTTATAAAAATGTGATATTAACTTCATCAAAAGAACAACTAATTTCAAACAAGCATCTCTACATTGTACTTTTTAGCAATCCAAGTTTCCACATGTCTTTGTTAGTTGGTTTGATTTATCTTTTTAACATAAAAGTTTATGTAGTTGTCCTAGCTTTGTGAAAAGCTCTACTCTAAGGCAAGAGAAAAAGAAAGATTCTTGACTAATAAATTACAATGAGAAAAATAATTACTTCTCAATAAAGACCGTTAATTTCATAAAAGCTGAAGACAGTCTTCTGAAAGATCTATCACATGATCATAACCCTGGTTTATAGGTTTACAAGGAGAAGCCAAGAATCACATTTCTCTCATTAATGTAGCTCTCTCTGTAGGTGTACCTGGTGATGAGCGTAACAAGCTCTAGGCTATTTGGAGAAAGCACTCAAAATTTGACTTCCATTACTTGGAGACAGTTTCGTATATTTTTACAAGCTCTCTCCACATTTAACAAGAGGTAGCTCAAGGTTAAAAGAAATGGAAAATATTCAAAGAGAGGTAAATCTCTTTTTAAATACTATTTATCCATCAGGTTGGAAAAATAATGAAAGCATCATAAATTAGAACCCTAGCTTTGACTGTAAAATTTGATCATGCCACTTGTTAGCCCAAAATAGGCTAAATGTCATTCAAATTAATGCACAGAAAGCCATATGATTTTTCAGTATATCTTTGGATTTTACATGGTTCTTGTCACTTTATGTGTCACTTTATGACATTAAACACTAACAAACGTAGAGGTTATTATAATTACTGTTAAACTTATAAAAACACTAATTTCTCAAGCTATAGCACATTAGGTGATATTAATCCACCTATATAAACTTTCTATTATTTTTATAATATAACTCAATTACATCGACTGCAAAATAAACTTTTAAGTTGAGGACTTGTCTTATTTCTCAGAATTGGTGCATTTATTACCCATTACTAATGATTTCGGTAATTAGCCTGACTCTAGATTTTATAGTGATTTACTTCACTCAGAGTCATTTATGCCCACTGTCTCCAAAATCAATTTTGCATATTATATACACAGAACCTGGTGAAAATCAGGCTTTGGCTTGGCCCTCTGGCTCTGGCACTCCTTCTGTTCTTACCTTCTATGATGTAGACACACTCTCGGTCTGGGGGATACTTGCTGGGATAGTTGGGAGAGGTAAAGACACCTCCCTCTGCATGCTTTGTCCAGGTTCCACACTGTACTGACTTCTGTGTTTCTGAAGTGATTTGCTTTTCTATAAAACAAAATTAAAAAAGAAATCATCATCCCATTGTCTATAATACTAAAAATAGGGAGGATAGTCTCATAATATCCATTAGTAAATTAATTTTAAAATGGTCTTTTAGTCACAATCAATCAATTATGCACACTATGAAATGTTCAGCTATTCTGGAATATTAAGAGCAGGGAAAAATAGGAAATAAAAAATAATGAGAGGTCTTCCACTAGCATTTTTCCAAAGAAACACACCTGTTCCCTTCTTGGCTGCCCCAGAGGTATGGAGGATGATTAAACTTGCTATAACTGAAACAGAAAAGAAAAATTAGAAATTACAAATGCACACCAAAAGTGATCAAATCTTATAAAACCACAAGGCAATTACAGATAAATTATACCAAAATAGAATAATTTTATCATTGTTAATCATTTCAAAGCTGACTCGGAACTTCCAAAATCTAATTTAAAAATGTGCAAAGGAAAACTTGGGACTCCCTTAAAGAGGTACTGCGTCTTTTAGAATGGATGAGACCATGGATACTTCAAAACTAAAGAATGTTGTATTCCACTCATCTCACACAGACTGCAGTGAGATTTTGAGAGCTCTGCTGTCAGTAAGGCCTCTTTGCTAAGAGTGCTGCCAGTGTCTTTAAAAGAAGAGTGAGAGCTCAGGTTAAAGGAGAAAGACAAAAACAATGTGCCAAAAGCTCCATGAGCCACCCTACATGTTACTAGTATGACTGGATTTTAGAACATAAACAATACTGCAATATCTATGGCAGGCGGGGGAGGGAGTGCAAGAGAGAAAGGGAACAATGTGGATATGTGGATTGGTGGCATTAAACAGCACTAAAAGAGAAAAAGGAACTGAAGTACCAAGTAGCCCTGTCTGTGACACTTTCCAGCCTGTGAACTTCATCCTTTCTAACCTGAACTTTAATTTAAAATTTACTGTCATTCAGAAACAGACAATAATTTTGAGAAGGGAGATTTTTGGAAGCATTTGTGGAGTCAGTTCAGGATCAGACTCTGGTCTGTAATTGATCAGTATATGACCAGAACTTGCATTTGCTCCTGTCTTCTTCCTCATTTACTTAAAACATTTTTAGAAAACCCAAGGCTAGCAAAGTACAAACATCATCTAGTCTTCATAATTTCTATCATTTATTCTTCTGTTTTATTTTAATGAGAAATTACATAAATATATCTTTGTTCTTATATATGCACCCAAAATTAATTTAGGGGAAGGGGGTCATAATTCACAGTAATTTCATTATCTTAAACTCAGTACAGGTGCTTAAGAATTATGCCTAAACATTATTCTAAGAAAATTACCTGGGTCTTGACATTAATTTTTGAGAAACTATCAGTTGTGCTACTTTTTAATCTAGCCATGTCATTCATCCAGTTTTAAGATTACAAGATTTGTTCTTGATGTGTGTGTGCGTGTGTATCTCTCTCTCTCTCTCTCTCTCTCTCTCTCTCTCTCTCTCTCTCTACAGACATTTCCTAACCTGCTGTGATCCTATAACTCCCTCCCCCACCAGAGGCTCCATGCATATCACTGTGTGCATTTGATCGTCTTAATCTGATTTCCTATTTTGGTGGGCTCACACCATGGAACACCTACAGTGCTTAACTCGTGGGTAAAGCCAGTCTTTTAACAGCATGATACAGATTTAGCCCCCCAGGTCTTGCTTCATAATGTGACATTCCCACCACACATTTTCTCTGACATTCTCTTTACTTAATGACTTCTAAACCTGCTTGCCTCTACTTCTCCCCACCTCGCCTCGAGGCTTTCTCAGACTCTGAAATAGAGTTCCAACTGTAGTTGGCATGCGCCCTTCCGGAAGCCCTGGGTCCAGGTGTGCTGTAACTTACCTGGGGTATGGAAGATGGGTCCGCCTGAGCCCCTGAATCCCACAAACGAGGAATATTCTTTCTCGTCCACCAAGTATCAGCTCTGTTACTTTCCTGTTTCCACCTGCGTCCTCTCTGGGGCCCAGCATCTCCCTCGCTTGCCCACATTTTAACTGCACACTTGTCTGGACCCCCGAGTTTCCTGCCTATGGAGAGATGGTTTTCCCTGACCAACTCTGAGGTCCAGCGACTCACTGTGCGCCGCCCCCGCCAGGCTGTATGATGCTGCAATACCGAAAGTTTACCTCTGCCCCAGACTCCTAGGGACTGCGGGGTCTGGCTGGAGCTTGGTGGCCTGGCTTTTCCCAGCGCATTGGGCCAAAAGGAGGAGGGGTGTCGCCCCAAGAACCGACTGGCATTATTGGAGAGGTACTCACTGTGAAACAAACTGCGTCCATAGATCATGTCTGTGCGTTACACCAGAGGCTCCAATCTCCACTAATTCCATTTAGAAACGGGAAGACTTCAGTGGTGGGGAGAGGAAGAAGTCCAAAGGTTTCAAATATGCAAACCACGAGCAAAATACAGTGGGGGGAAGCAAGAGAGGAAAGAAAGCGATAGGAACTGGTCTGTCTTCCGCCCTTGGCTTGCTCTCGCCCTGGCTTGCTCTCTCAGCACAGCGAAGCCAGCATCCCCACCATGACGCTCACATCACACCCTGGCGCCAACCGCCACCATCAGCACCACCACCAGCAGCACCCTCCTCCTTTGCATCATCGCCACCGCCGCAGCTGTCAGGAGGACGCGGCGGACAGTCTGCGCGCGGGCGGCTGCAGGCACCTGGCGAGCCCCGGTGCGCCCGAAGCCGGGACCCGACCTGGTCCCTGCGACGGATGGCGCGAGGAGGGGGCCGGTCCGGATCGACGGCAACGATAGGGCAGGCGGCAGCAAAGGAGGCGGCAAGGGCTTGCTCAGTCGCCAGTCTCATCCACCACGAGCAGCAGGTCGGAGCAGCGTCGCCGGGAGGATGCCCATCCGCAGCCCTGCTCTCTCCAGCCTTTGGGGGTCTTCTGCTGAGGCATTGAAGGCAGGGAAGCAGGCGTCCGTCATGGGCTCGCCGGGCTGCGCGCCACCTCTGCGATCTAGCAGGAAAAGGAGCCTGAGGGTGGGTGTCAGGGGCGGGGTTGGGGG